AGCAGGACTTAATTATGAAGACACACTCAGAAATGAAATGGAGAGACATTCCACAGAACAAACGGGCTGGATAGCTCACAAATATCAGTGTCATGAAAGTGAAGAAAAGGCAAGAAAAGAGTTACAATAACCAACTTCAATCAATGACTGATTTACCGAATCAAAGCATAGTAAGAAAAAAAGCAAATAATGAAGTGATAACATATTGGGATCATGAGAAACATTGGAAAATCAGGTATATATCAGGTAATAGTTTCATGTTAAAGTTACATTTCGTGCAGGTGATACTGGTTTTCAGAAGACAAAGGAAATATCCTAGCTCTTAGGTGATACATGGTGAGGTATAAAGTGTCATTATCTCTAACTTATTTTTAAAAGCCAAATTAAATGAATAAAAAAATGTCTCCCAAAGGGAAAAAAGGCCTCTTAGAAAAGTAAAACAAAACCAAACAAAGTACTTCAAATAATATAAGAAAATCTTCATCCATCATCATATTCAATATCGATGTGTTAACAGCAAACCTTTTCCTTCCAGTGGCCAAAGATGAAATGATTTCAACAACAAAGTAAACAACAATAGCACTGCGTTATAACACAGGGCATAAAATAAATCTCCATGAGTCTATACTGATACAAATGATTGAAGAAATAAAAGAAGGAAGGAAGGAGGGAAGGAAGAAAAGAAAGAAGGAAGGAAGGAAGGAGGGAAGAAAAGGAAAAGGAACAAATTTTCTTTACTGAGGAATTCCCATTAATCTATGTATATATTCCCCCCTCTAGGAGGTGTAACTTAATCACTGTCTCCTAGAACGTGGACTGGACTTAGTCACATACCTCCATATAATAGCATATGAAAGGGAAATGTATTTCCTCACCAGAGGAGAAGCCCACCTGACCTGAGTGATTATTGTTAACACCGTCAGTGATGAGTGCGGCTGGTAGTACGTACCCTCTGCCACCATATGAGGGGAAGAGCAGCTCACCTATTTGGAACCCTTCCCCCAAACCAATAACCTCAGTGTAATCATGAGGAAACATCTGAAGAACCTAAACTGAGGCTACAAATTACCTGACCACTACTCTTCAAAACTGTCAAGGCCATGAAAGACCAAAAAGAGAAACTAACAGATCGGAGGAAACTAAGGAAGCTTCAGGACTAAATGCAAGGCTCATCCTGGAAAGGATCCTGAACCAGAAGAAACACACGGAGTGACCACACTGCTGACATCTGAGTAAAGCATGTAGTTCAGTGAGTGGCATTGTATGGATGCTGGCGTCTTAGTTACGCAAATATGTGGTGGTGATGGAAGACATAACGTGGGAGGAACCTGGGAATATGGAAACTGTACCATCTTTGCAACATTCTGTAAGTCTAAAGTTACTCCAAAGTTTAAACTTTATTTTTTTTTAAAGAAGCAAACTCTAAAATCAGGAAGTCAGAGACACCTCCTCATGCAATCAACAACTTAATAAGAAATAGAAAAGAGTAAAAAGAACTGACTGGAAGAAAGACATCTTTTTCATGAACCATATCTTTTTTTGCACAAATCCAAAATAATTGCCAGAACAATTATTAAAATAAAGAGCTTAGCGAGTTTGCTAGATATAAGATCAATACCAAAAAACTGATTGCCTTTCTATATACCAGCAATATACAATTAGAAATGTAATTTTCAAACAGGGATTTTAGTAAGAGACCACAGAAAGAAATCTAAATAATGATGCATCACATCTTTATAAAGAATAGTTTAAAACTGTACAGACAATAAAGAAGACCCAAATAATTGGAGAAGCGTAAAGTTCTCAAGGACAGAAAGGTCGTTACAATAAGGATGTCAGATCTTCTCAGAATGATCTATACGTGCAAGGCTATTTCAGTAAAAATCACAGCAGGAGTTTTCAAGGAACTTGGTAACCTATTTCTGAAAACATATATTGAAGAGTAAAATGGTGAGGATGCTCGAAAAGGAGAGGAAAACAAGGCGACTTCCCTACCACACAGCTCCTGTAACGCTACAGTAATTGAGACAGGGTCAGTCTGGTACACAGCGGGGCACAGTAAACCCAAGGAACAGAACAGAGAACCGAGAAACGGGCCAGATCAGATACAAAAGCCTGACCTGTAAGTTAGCTGGCTTTGCACATCATTGGAAGAAAGTGTGACTATTCAATAAATGATGTCAGGGGCTTCCCTGGTGGCGCAGTGGTTGAGAGTCTGCCTACCGATGCAGGGGACGCGGGTTCGTGCCCCGGTCCGGGAAGATCCCACATGGCGTGGAGCGGCTGGGCCCATGAGCCATGGCCGCTGAGCCTGTGCGTTTGGAGCCTGTGCTCCGCAACGGGAGAGGCCACAGCAGTGAGAGGCCCGCGTACCACAAAAAATAAAAATAAATAAATAAATAAATGATGTCAGGACTCTATGGGATACCCTAGTGAAGAACCTCACATCGATAAGATGAATTACAGATGAATCAAGGACTTAAATGTGGAAACCAAAGTTTAAATAGCCAAAGATCCCAGTAAAGACTGGGCAAAAGACATAAGCAGGCATTTCACAGCAAAGGATATCTGAGTAGCCAATAACAATATGAAAATTTTCAAGCTCACTGCTAATAAGAAGAAACAAATACGAATTAACATTAAGGTACAATTCTACACTTACCCTAATACCCAGAATTAAAAGAATGCCAAATCAAAAGGTTGGGGAGAATGCAGAAAAACAAAATTATGTATATTGTTGGTAGAACTGTAAATTGGTCACTTTTAAGAATAATTTAACTCTACCTCATGAAGTTGAAAATATTAATTTCTTAAGACAGCAATACCATTCTCAGCTATAGATTCGAAGAAAGTTTTCTTGCACTTTGGACAAGGAGAGTTGGAAATAAGCCAGACATTCATCAAAGCGGAAAAGACAAGAAAGGTTGCCTATTTATACAATGGAGTACGGTCCGTCACAGAAAGCAAAGGATCCAAGCTCTCTGCATCCACATGAACTCGAAAAACATCACACTGCATCAAGTCACAGGAGTAAGCATGTAGTATTATCCCACTGATATATACTTCAAAAGAGGCAAAACAATTTTAACAGGCTAGTTCACAGGGAGATGTGTACATGTGGTAAAATTACAGAGAAAATTGGGAGGTCGAGGAAAAATAGAAAAACTTAAGACAATGATTATTTGTGCAGCAATAATAGGAAGGTAAATCAAGGAAGCACAAAAAGAAGGGATTTCAGAACTATTGGAGAGTCACTTTTCTCGAGTCTCATATGGTGAGTGACGTTGAGCCACAGAATGCTACGGTAGGCATCCTGGACGATAGTTTATCTTCTGTGATCTAACTACTCACATGCATCACACACACACGCATGCACACACGCATGCACACAGGACGCTGCCTGTCCCGTCACACGTCCAGCCAGGCGTGCAGGTGTCACGTGGCCCTCCTGGCACTGACCTGTGGGAACAGAACTCCTGTCACTGCCACTGCTGTCACTGATCCTTTGTCTCGGAACCGGGAGCCTCCTGTCTGCAATCAGCATCCATGAGACTGTGGTAGGTTAACTTGCTACTTTGCAAGGAGGGCCAAACCTTAAACCCTCTGCAGTTTTTACAACATTATGTAATCCTCCACATGAAAAGAAGGCAAGAGGTGTAGAACGGCATGGTGATAAAACATCTCTACGAGGGTTAGAAAAATGGATTTTAGTACGTGTTGAGTTATAAAACATGAATGAGATCTAGGGCAGCTACTTTACTTCTCTGGCTTGTTTGCTTATCTATAAAATGAAGGGTTGAATAACACCATCTCTAAAAATAGCTAGAATAACTTATCCTTCTCAAAGCCTAAAATTAGAGATGTAAGGGGAAAAAAAACCTGAAACGCATAGCCACAGAAAGAAGAACTTGAAAGAAAAAATGTAGCTATATATAAATGTTAAAGATACAAATTGTGATGACAGCAAGTATAAAGTTTATCTTATCTGTATTGAAATATTTATCTGTAATATACCATAAAGAGAAAATTCTCTTTTAACTTGTATATCAAAGGGAAAATAAAGAACCCCACAAAGAAGCTCAAGTGAAATATTTTCATGATACACAAATGCCATTGAAGTGAAAAATCTTCCCTGAGACCACCCAACCTTGACAAGTATATTCACATAGGATTTAAAGACTAATATTTGTATGACATACGGTAGGTGGTCTTTTGCGTGGGTGAAATACTCCAGCTGACTCTGGTTCATGAAAGCTTCTAGGAGAATTATGATAAATTTCTACCTGGCCAACTATAATGTTAGCCTAAATGTTTAATTCTGCTTTCAGAACTGTACTTATTCCTTGTAATGAAATATTCAAATTTCTTAGTTCTGGGTGTATGTATGTATGTATGTATCTATTTGTGTACCTATGGATACTGGATAGCACGGACACTGCTCTTTCTTTTTATAGCTTACTATTTATCTTATTGATTTGGCTATAAGGAAGCTCAAAAGTTTTGGCACTAGTGGTAACTCTGGCACAACCTTCCTTCCTTTACTTGGCTTTTGATTCTCTATTCCTTATTTTATAAATTGTTTTAGTCTATATGTAATTTCTTTTTAACCATATATTACCTCACATTACTTTCAGATGTAGATAGAAACAGAGCTTAAATAAGGTTGTAAATTTCTTGGATCATCAGAAAAACATGAGAACAAAAGATGCCATTTAAAATCACAGCCTCAAAATAAAGCAACTTGAAAGACTGCAACAGTTGTTACACTGTTGGAATTTCAAGTATGATCACTTACTTGCATATGTCATCTTCTGGGTCTTCAAGCCCAAATCTCTCATCAAATGTGAGCTGTATCCACACATTTTCCTCTACTGCTACTAATCTCCAGACCAAGACCATATTTCTTGGATAAGTATGAGGAAACCTCGGGCTGTGAATACTTCCATTAGTAGACACACTAATAATTCTCTCATGCTGGGGATCTTGTACTCCTGAAAGTAAAAACATAAGCATAGACACACACTTAGAACAGACATTTCAAAAATTATAGGTTTCAAAATAACTTCTGAAAAAAGGTAACCAATACAAGCCCAAAGTTTCCCATGAACTGTAATTACTAAATGATTTCAACCCTTAAATGACCTCGAAAAACAAAATGAGGTCAAAGCAATGGTATCAATTTCTTGTTGTAAGGCAACTAACAGCGGTCTATGAAGATATGAAATTATAAGAAATGTCGCAGGACTTCTCAGTGACTTTAAAAGGCTAACATGAATTTTAAATTTCTAAGAGGAGAATACAGTATAAAATCGCTTCCAAGTTTATTAGGCATGGCAACCTTTTACACAGTGAAATGCCAAAATACATTGTTATTAATATCTTTTTCTTTTGCTTAGATTGCTGGGGGAGACATGAGGGCACGGGCAAATTGAAACAATTTGTTGAGACAAAAATGTTCTTTTTTTACTGAAGCATAGTTGGTTTACAGTGTTTCAGGTGTACCGCAACATGGTTCATTTATATATAGATATTTTTTTCAGATTCCTTTCCATTATAGGTCATTACAAGATATTGAATATAGTTTCCTGTGCTATACAGTAGGTCCCAGTTGTTTATCTATTTTACACACAGTAGTGTAGAGACAAAAGTGTTCTTCTATCCACCCAACTGAGAGTTCATAATGAGAGGAAACAAATAATTGGTATTTGGAAAAGGAGCAGCTGTTTACCTACACAAAGAAAATCTAAGAAATAAGACAGTTACACTTTTCCAGGCCATGAAAATCCAATCCATTGTTTGCTAAATCCCAGTAAAAAAAAAGAAACAAAAAACCTTTTAAAGACTCTTTTATTCAATTTCTAAAACAATTTAAAAGTCCTAAACTGCACCTTGAACACATGAAGTAATGTGCATGGCAAAACACCTGACACGTTTTTTGTTCAACTTTGATATACTCATAACATCAGGACAACAATATTATACTGTACCAATACCTCATTAGTTTTCATGATTTAGAGATATGTTTCATAAGACTGAACTTTGTATTTGCAGTATTATACAGAGAGAAGAATATCATTACTTTATAAGCGCCATTTTTCCTTTATTTGCCCATTTCCCAACATCCAATCTCAATATATGCATAGTTACTTTCAGAAACATGAAAAAATTCTCATTTTATTGACTCCTTTTAGGTACATCCCATCAAACTGTGCCATACAGAGTTGTCTAAGGCCTATTACATCATTGACATTTTATACTAAAGTACGTTTTTCTTCTCTCTCTCTTTTTTTCTACTATGGTTTTCTGCCTTCTCCTCTTCAATTCTTTCACTCCCATACCCTACTTCCCTTTTTTTAATTGAAACATAATTGAGTTACAGTATTGTGTTAGTTTCAGGTGTACAGCAAAGTGATTCAGTGATACATACATATGTACCTACTTTTTTCAGATTCTTTTCCATTATAGGTCATTACAAGACACTGAGTACAGTTCCCTGTGCTCTACAGTGGGTCCTTGTTGGTTATTTGTTTTATAGACAGTAGTATGGATCTGTGAATCCTAATTTCTTCTTGACCAGTGGACTCCTCCATGCCAAGTTTGCCTGCTAAGTATTTCAACTCCACGTGCTCTCTCCATGATTTTACACCAATGACCCTGCTTCCCGCTCTGGAAGGCAGACTCTCAGGCGACCCCCAGTGTCCCTCACGCGTCAGGAGCCCCTGCCTTGAGTGGGTGGAAGCTGTGACAAGGGGTATTACTCCCATGATCAGGACAGTTAACTCTGAGTTAACCAAAAGTTAGATTATAGGAGAAGCCTAACCTAATACGGTGAGCCCTTAACAGAAGCTGGCCCTTCTTGATCTTAGAAATTCCAAGTGTGAAAGACACTCAATGGGGAAAATTCTGTGTGGTGGCCTTGGAAAGGGAGCAGGCTGTGTGCCCAGGATGTGGGCGGCTGAGAGGTACCGAGAAAGAGGGGGCTTTATCCTGAAACCTCAAGAGACCTCGATGAATCGGAGGCAGACTCTTCACCAGCCTCCGGAAAGGAATCAAATCTCGCTCATACCTTGATTATAGTTTCGTAAAAACTTGGAGCAAAAGCCCAGTCTCCCAGGCCTGGATTTCTGAGCTCCAGAGCTGAGAGCAAACAAGGTGTATAAAACTGCGGGTTCATGGTGATTTCTTACCTAACAGTAGACAATTAATATACCTTCTGTTGGGCACAAAGCTATTTGATTTGCAAGTATGTCTTTTTGCCCTTCGTTCTTCAACGGCACTTAGAGTAATTGTAGCAACTTTTCATTTACTATTTATGTGACTCAAAATACATATTTCACACTGATAAAATGCAACTTATGAATATGCTCTAAGAAACTTCTTGAATTCAAAAGACAATGCCAAGTGTTATTTATTAGTCAGAATATGATTCGGGTTAGAGAATACCTGTTTAATTGTTAAGACACCCCAAATAATTTTAACAAGGTGTAGTTATGATTCCTAAAGCAGCTTTTTCATTCTCTTAAACTCAGCTGTTTCAACAATGAGTCTGTTAAGTATGATTTTATATTGTCTAAGACAAGATAAAGACAAACATAATTTCCTTTGAATATATACAGTGCATATAATGGGGAATATCATTATATTAGTAAATATGCCTTAAGTGCCATAGGATGTTTAAATTAAATAATTATTATTTATAATTATCACTTGTGCAAAAGCATGTTCCCTCTCACTGGGGGCTAATGTTTGATATGGCCATAGGTTATATTAACATATATCAAATAATCAATACCTCTCCTGTGCACATAATTTAGCACCAGTATATCTCATAAGGACACAGAGGATCTATCAAGTTAGATGAATTCTCCTCTATACGGACAATTTTTTAAAGAAAATGATTATAATCTACTATTAAAATTAAGTTAATATATTGTCTGTTTTCAAAGATTTCTTTTAAAAATGAGATATTTCCCCACTATCTAAATTTTAATACAATAGCCTACATATTTCAGAGGTATTTTAGAGCAGTAGCTTATATCAAGAGTCCTTCTCATTTTGGCAGCTAATATATTTTTTAATGAATTAATTTTTTCCAACCAAATTTATTAAAATATATTATTTGCCCATTCTGTCTTAAAAAAGAAAAAAAAAAACAAGAGTGCCTTATATCATCCACAGCACTGTTTACAAATATAACAGTGTTTACACTTTCATATGCGTAAACTACATGGCTACTAAAAGATCTGAATTCTATTTTTATATCTTCAGTCAAAAAAGCTCATGGCTAAAAAGTATATACTTAGATTGTGTTTACATCTTTATTTTTTCCTTTATAGTCCACAATTCCATTAAACTATAATTAAGCATAATTTAAAGGCTGAAAATCTAGGCCTTATTTGTGGTAAAAGAATTGTAAATTTCCTTTTAAGTTAAATTGCTGTTCCCCCAAAATCAGCTCAGAACGCAGTGAGGTTTGCCACCAAATACATATGATTTGCACATGACTGTCAACGTTACATGTAAATCTCAAACAATGAGGCCTATAATCGAAAAGAAAAATAAATGAGCAACAAAGAGTAGGATCTACCAAAATAAGACTTTGCATTCGTAGCTCAGTTGCTTAAAAAATCGTCTTTCCAAACACAGAACTTTACTAGGATTTTAGGGATGAGACAAGTACCTATTTTGTGACTACTTTATTGAACGTTTGCTTTTCCTAAACAATGGACAGTACACTCAAAGAAAGTACCAAAGAAATGAAACAAATGTTTGTCAGCAATCATTAACGTGTTTACAACATGCTCCTTGCAATGCATCCTCAACAAGAATAAGTCTTGTTCATCCAGATAAGACAGCATGAAAAGTGAAAATATATAAACACTAAATTTTAAAAATTAAAATTAACACCATTTCATATTATCCTACCCAACCCTCCTTGAGGTCAGAGTATTGAAAACTAACATGAAATAACAATAGAAAAGGAAAAGAAGGGAGATTAATAATTTGAAGACTCTAAAATTGTTGACTATATATGTTCACATACAATTCAGTTATGAAGAATCATTACACAATCTGTATGTACTCAATAAGTTAACAGTAAAACCAAAGCAATTTCATAATATTTGCCATGCATTTCAGACTGTTAGCCCCTTTAAAAGTATATTTATTGGGCTTCCTGGTGGCGCAGTGGTTGGGAGTCTGCCTGCCGATGCAGTGGACACGGGTTCGTGCCCCGGTCCGGGAAGATCCCACATGTCGCGGAGCGGCTGGGCCCGTGAGCCATGGCCACTGAGCCTGCGTGTCCGGAGCCTGTGCTCCGCAACGGGAGAGGCCACAACAGTGAGAGGCCCGCGTACCGCAAAAAAAAAAAAAAGTATATTTATTAAGAAAGAAAGAGGGAAGGAGTAAGAGAATCATGAAAAGCAATAAAAAAATTTAATGCTTGAAAAGCTGTATTATTTAAAAAGATAACATCAAGAAAGAAGTTCTGTAGGGACTTCCCTGGTGGACGGGTGTGCAAGACTCCACACTCCCTATGCAGGGGGCCTAGATTCCATCCCTGGTCAGGGAGCTAGATCCCACATGCATGCCGCAACTAAGACCCGGAGCACCAAAATAAATACATACATAAACATTAAAAAAAAAAAAAAGTCTGTGGACAAGATGTAATTCCTAAAGAAAGAGAAACCATCCAGGTCCTTCCCCATGCTAACGCTTTAAGTTGGCAATAGCAGAAAAGACCTGGAGGGTTAAGAATGAGGTAAAAAGAAAGGCCTCCAGTTTTGGTTTAGCTTCAAGTTCTGAAGAATTCCGGTTCCTGTTCACATAGCGAGGGTGTAGGGATGTGTCCCCCAAAACTGGTAGATTTCACAGGTGTATTGTGAGATTTTTGATGGATTTACTTCCAAATATATGTTACCTTCAAATTGCGTTAGAAAAGGTATTTCTGTAATAGTCAGGTGCACCTATTTCCAAATCCTTCCTTGATGCA